GTCTATTATACCCATCCCATTCTCCTGTTCGTTGCAACCCACGCTCAATAAAAAATAAATTGCAGCGAAGTGCACACTGCATTCATATATACACAATTGTCACAAAATGCGATTTCATCACGGCAAAATAATATTTCGTCGTTCAATTTCAGAACATTCAACGTGTATTATTGATTAAATTTGATTTTATGCAACTCATTTGAATGCGAGCTAGTTGAAATTGTATATATATATATACATATATATATAATATATATAAAATGAAATTGTGCCTCATATTCGCGAATGAACGAACGAAAGAGTGATTCTGCTGAAAATAGACATTTTCAAACACGCTTTATTGAATGAAGCACGCATAAGGCAACTTTGTTGTCTTTTGTGCAAAATGTTCATACAAACGTCTGGTAAATAAAATGTTCGCGTATTTTCTGTCGCACGACAGACACACATCGAACATAACATAAAATTGCTTCCAATTGAACGAATTCAAAATTAAATGCATTATTCATATTTCTGTAATTGGATTTCAGTGGAAATGAAATGATTTAGTGGAAGAACACACAAAGAATTGGACAGAATAAAAATGAAAAGAATGTACACCATCCATTCCATCTATTTGGAATCTTTTGTGCCGGCTGCAATGCAGCCATTTCGTTCATTTAGAATTCGTTAGATTTTGTTAGATGAATGGGAGCACATAAAATGTGGGCGCCTAGACACGACACACACACATCAAAATCAGTTTGGAGCGCACATTTTACTTTTTCACCGATGCTGAAAATCATTTCTCATTCAATTTGTGAATCACTTGTTATTCCCTTCGCTCTCTATCAAAGATGATAATTTTTCATTTTAACAACACAACAGTTACATCAACAACAAAATGAACACACATTTTTCTCTCTCATCTAAATGCTCTCTTTGAAGCTTCAAATAAGTGATGCGCGTAAGCAATTCAGCATCAATTTCATATACATTCAACACACACTACAAATGAAGATGAAAATACACACATTTGTTCACTCCATTTTTGTTGCCATTGCATTTGTCTACATACTTCATACACATGAATGTCACTATACGTGTATCGATATTTACGATGGATCATTTTTATATTGTGCTAGCTACCACACTGATAAATTCATGCACATTTTAAAATACATCGAACAAAGAGAAGAATGAGAAAAAAACACGATTTGTGATTATTTGCAGTCTTTGCGAAAAGTGCATCGATTTAAAACTATTTTCATTTCAATCCGTTTCGATAACTATTTCGAAAGCATCACTTAATGCATTTACGTAGGAATATCTCTTTTTTTGTGTGTGTGTGTGCGTGCATGTAAGAAAAGAAGCGAGAAAGCGTGCAAAAGGCACCGATTTTATGGTATAATCGTAAATTGTACAATCGCACCATGCTGAATGAACACAGTAACAGCATCAGTGGCTGGGAATACACTCGTTTCAAGCACGTTCTGCAATGTGAGAACAACGAAAAATGTGGCACCGAGCACGTATCCCAGTTGAAATATGACTTTTCATGTTATTCCCGTCTCGCGTCGTGTCATCATCGTGCTCAAGAGAAAATGTGCAAATGATTTTTATTTACTGCGGCTACAAAATAAAATAGTTTATGGTCGATTTCAAAGCGTTAAAAAAAATTATGATTTCATAGCGTTTCACGGATGGCACTATTCAAAAGTTTACCATAAAGTCTCACCGAAATGTAATTGATCAAATTTGCTTATTTTTCTCAGTCACAATCATTTGTTGCAGTTTGCGACGTTTTTCTTCGTTTCACTGCATTGACTTAGTGCTTTCTCATTTCATCTCGCCCATCTCTTGCCACATCCGCCGCATTGTTTACAATGTCCTTAAACTATAGCGTTTTCTTTTTCCGATTGCGCTCATGCCGATTTATTCGCCATTCGAGACATTCACGAAGACAGAAACAAAGGCGGAGCAAGAGATCGTCTTGGTACGTAGAAAATTCAATTCGGATGCTTAAATGATGCTATCGATATACTGTGTGTAAGAGAATAATGTTTACAATGTCATTAAATTCATTGTTCGTTTTGTGTAATGTGCTTTGTTCGGAGGCTCGTTTTGGTTTCGCTGTCGAAGCCAATGCGAATGAGCTAAGCTAAATGGCATCATAATAATAATAATTGAAATAACCCCTTATTTTATTATGGTGATTTGTGCTTTGCCAATAAAACTGACAAAACCAATTTTCATTGCGAATCGTATATTGAAATTTATACGTTAATGGAGCCGGCACAAGAGAATGAGAGCTACAGAATATCGGGCTCAGGTTTTTGTTGTTTGAACTTACAGTTCAGAAAGAAAATGAAAATAATAACAACTTTTTTTTCTTCATTTGTCGCGCACATTTGATCGTCGTTATTTTACAATTGTATATAGTGGTTTCAATCCATTTTCCTTTACTTTCTCATATTTTTCTTTTTCGTTCGTTTTGTTCTCTCGTTACTTCTCCTGCTACAATTGTTCGCTATTCGTTAAAATAACATTCAATTCCAGATATAAATATCAATTGATTCATATCCATCGGAACAGCAGCAGCAGCAGAAAGAAAGCGGCTAAGAAACTTTTGCTATGTTATTTATTCGTTTCCATTGCATTTCATTTTGGCCCAAATGGGCCACAAACACACATTTACTCCGGTTGAACCAGTTTACTCTCCTGTAATTTTTAATAAGGATTTCGATGTTTTTTCTTCTTCTCATTCTTTTTTCTGTTCTGCTTTTTTCAATTTATTATAACAACCGGACTCGTTTTCGACTTTTTGCCGCAGAAAACAAATAAAATAAATCTCAAATTGTAACAAAGAAAACAATAACAATAACAATACATAAATTTCATCGAAGATAAATACGAATACCGAACATAACCTACTGTATTCATGTCGTGGCATCGAGAGACAGAGTAATAGAGAGAAAGAGTGAAATAGCGAGAGAAAATGCAAACACATGCAATCTTGCCTCAATTTATGACAATAGAAGAAAGCAATTGCGGCTTTTTGGCCGAATTGTTGTTGAAGAGAGGAAAATAGTGAATTTGTTGTGCTACTGTGTGCAAGAATTGAAAATGAAAATGTAATTGGCATTGAATGCAATGTATACCGTTTGCGTTAGCAACGTGATAAAAGATGCAAGGCACACAACGACCTTGTTAGTCAAAATAATGGCTCTTTTGTGCCATTACAAAACTAAAAAGAGAAAGAGCAAATTTGTATTTTTAAAGTCGTTTCGATTTGTTTATTTTAACAACGAATTTTCGTTTTCATTCAGTAAATTAATACGCTGCAACAAACAATTACCGAGTAGATTTTCACCGAAATGAACAGAATTGCACGGAATCTGCTATGGTTTTTATTTTTCAGCTAAAATCCATTCTAAAACGGGAAAAGCTTTTTACAACAACGAAACAACAGCTTTTTCTCGCAACGAACGAAGGAAACATCGACTTGAACAATGGAATTTAATCGATGGTTTTGAAATTGAAGCCGAAATTACTGTAGGTGGAATATTGCTATAATATGAAGTAAATGAAAAGTAATTTTTCGACTAATGCAACATTCCACATTCAATTGCAATATAAAAGCGATTTTCAAGAGTTGATTTTCCCCCTAAGTCAAAGACTCATTCAACATCGTTTCAAGTTTTATGATTTTAAGTGTCATAAAAATGCTTATGTTCACTCCATTTGCACTTTTCCGAAAATTCCAGAAAATGCCATATGTAAAAAAGCAGAATAAAAATAATAGAAGAAGAAGAAGCGCCAGCAACAGCACAGTAACAATAGCACACACCAAGTTGAAATGCAACCGAAGCACCTTGCAATGAATGGGCTATAATTTTACAACAATTTGAATTCTTATGAGCTCAACGAACATTTACACCTTCATTCGAAAAACTTGATAATGTATTCATTTCTTCATTTCTTTCTTCACGTCGTCCGTATTTGTGTATGATCGTGTGTGTGTGTGTAAAGTTTTCTTTAAGCGAACAATTTTCGGATGCATTCCAGGTTAATGACCAAGAATAATTTCACTAGTCATAAAATTGATTGCTCTTTACAAAGTACACAATTGCTGGAATTATACAATAATATTCCGTACATAATGAGAGCGACGAAAAAAGCGCAAGCATACACACAAACCCATATCCAATGAAGTGTGTAACAATATTTCTAGGGGCAAATCACCATTTGCAAATATTCTGTATTTGCAAAAAATTTGCGTATTTCCAAAGATATTTGCAAGTTTTTTAATATTTGTACACATTTGCAAATATTTGCACTGATTTACGACATTTGTATACTTGACTGTGTAAATGCAGCTAATGAGAATATCTCATTTATCACGAAATTAAAAAAGAACTAACTAACTTCACGTATAAAATATTTAGAATTTTAATATTACCAACTTTTTTTATATTTTGGTGTCCGAAATATTAAAACTATGCTGAAATAAACATAATATTACTAACTTAACCTAACTTTCGCTTTGCAAAAAAGCTTTTCTTTGCGCGGCGAATTCACTACCGTCTCCACTAGACAGTTTAAAGTTATAACGTTCAACCACGTTCAACATGAAGTTTGTTGAACGCGACTTGAAGTTAGTTCAATTTTATTTAAGCCATTTCCAACAAGCTATCTTTAAGGCCAACAATGCCGCATTTGTGATACATTTGTATATTTGCTCAACATTTGTTGAATTTGCGATACATTTGTTGCATTCATTGAAAGCACAGCATATTTATTCAAAAATGATGCATTTGTTTTCGTGATTTGCCCCTAGATTAAGGATAGAAACTTTGTTAATTTAAAAGAGGTGAAGCTTTTTTTCTAAATCAATTTTATTTTATTTTTTTTACAAAATGTGAGTTTTACACAATATTCCTTAAAATTATTATTTTTTTGAAAAAAAAAGAAAAGAATTATTTATTTTATTCAATAAAGAAATGCAAAAGATTTGCTGTTTATCGTCTCATCTTGTATTTCATCATTCGTAATGCTCTGGCCATAAGCGGTGCTTTCTTTTGCTTCTTTTCCTTCTTCGGTCCATTTGATGGTTTGGCGGTTGATTTCTTTTCGTTTTTGCTATCGTTAACTTCAATCATCTCGTTGCTATCTTCGGTTTCGCTATCACTGATTTCGAGATCTTTGGAGAGAAAGTCCTCCCCTTCATCGCTACTGGTGCAATGATCCGATTTACGAAGCTCTGCGTATAGTTGTTGTAATGGTTGTTTTGCGGACGAGGACTCTTCGCTTTTACTATCGATGATTTCAATCATATCGTTGCTATCTTCGGTTTCGCTATCACTGACTTCAAGATCTTTCGAAAGAAAGTCCTCATCTTCATCACTACTGCTGGAATAATCCGATTCACAGGGCTCTGCGTAGAGTTTTCTTAATGGTGGTTTTGCAGATGATTCCTCTTCATCGCTACTGGTGAAATAGCTCGATTTACGAGGCTCTGCGTAGAGTTGTTGTAATGGTGGTTTTGCGGATACCTCCTCTTCATCGCTACTGTTAGAATAATCCGATTCACGGGACTCTTCGTAGAGTTGTTGTAATGGTGGTTTTGTGAATAATTCCTCGTCATCGCAACTGGAAAAAAATTCCGGTTCACGGGGCTCTGCGTAGAGTTTTTGTAATGGTGGTTTTGCAGATGATTCCTCTTCATCGCTACTGGTGAAATAGCTCGATTTACGAGGCTCTGCGTATAGTTGTTGTAATGGTGGTTTTGCGGATACCTCCTCTTCATCGCTACTGCTAGAATAATCTGATTCACGGGACTCTTCGTAGAGTTGTTGTAATGGTGGTTTTGTGAATAATTCCTCGTCATCGCAACTGGAAAAATAATCCGGTTCACGGGGCTCTGCGTAGAGTTTTTGTAATGGTGGTTTTGCGGATACTTCCTCATCATTGCTACTGGTGCAATAATTCGATTTACGGGGCGGTGCGAAGAGTTTTTGTAACAATAATGCTTTTTTGCTCAATGGTTGAGTTGATAATGAAACTGGAGGCTTGGTCGAATGATCAATTTCAAACATCGATATCTCTTCATAATTTTGTAATGTCGATGATGTGGAATCACTTTTATGCATTTTTGAGGAACTGGTCATATAATCTGATTCACGGACTCGTTTATGCGATTTCGGGTGTTGAATTCCATGGCCAGTGTTGAAAGCTTTATTTATTTCGTTGTCCCGTTTGTGTGATGATGTAGTTGCTAAACTTCTTTGAGCAAATGATGGACCATTTTGAATAATTTCTTGATGAGCTACTGATTTCACTTGATTTTTTTTTGTTCGAATCTTTGCAAAATATGCTGGGTTAATCACAACTTTGCTTGCACTTGAGTATTGTAAAGGCACTCGTTCTACCAATGAATTTCCATATGTTCTGTTTTCCATTGTTACTGAAAGTTATTTCGATGTAACGGTTTGCACAGTTGAAAAGTGTTTCAAATAATTGTAGATAAAATTTTAAATTTCTAACCAATTGTCAATATCGTAGATGTGTTCTCCTTGAGACTTTTTCACGTAATGTAGAGATGACGTATGAGCCACTTGCTTATATACCTGCTGTACCGAAGTACAGTTAGGATTGTAATTAGGATTGTAATTAGGATTGTAATTAGAATTATAATTAGGATATGCTAAATGTAACACCTTAATGGAAAATTATCATTAAGGACCCGTAATAATACATAATGAACAATCAATTAGCCACATAAATACAGCTATAAAAATCAAGTTGTATTGTCATTTTTAAATTTGACATCCTAATTAACGATCATCATAAAAATTGATTTAGAAAAAAAGCATCACCTCTTTTTATTGGACAAAGTTTCTATCCCAAATTCACAATGGATTGGACAGAGATTATGTATCTCACAATACAAATTTGTGTATGAATGAATAAATGCATAAATTTCAAAATAAATTGGGCACTTGCATGAAAAACCATTTAAAATATGAATTATGTAAAGAATCGATGATTTTATAAATAAAAGGCGTACAATCCGTTTTCATTAAACCATATAATTGTTTTTTTTTTTAATTTTCCACAATATATAATAGCGTACCTATTTTTATGATTCTTTAAGAAAATAATTGCGAATTAAATATGATGTGGTCGAATTTCAAAAGAAATTAACCAAAAGGCAACGACTATGATTCACAGTGGAAGATAGTTTGAATGTTGTATAATGTATAAAATGAACATAAATGGCGAAATCTAATCAATTGTGCTTTAATTTAAATCAAAGCATGCTTTTCTCTGCTCTTCATAAATAAATAGTGGAAATAATCAAACAAGGACGTAAGTTTACGATGTAGTGGACATTTTAAAAATATCGATTTTCTTTGATTTACAAGAAAAAGGCTAAAAAGTCATGATGCCACAAAAGTAATAACGTTTTATATATTTTTGTTTTAATTCATTCCTAGAATAATTCCGAAGGGATATTTTTTCAATCAGGCTAATTATGTGGTCGCAATAATCGTTTGAAAAATATCTTTTGTTATTTTATGATGATCGTTAATTAGGATGTCAAATTTCAAAATGTCAATACAACTTGATTTATATACCTGTGATTATGTGGCTAAACGTTTTCGGTATCGAGATCTCGATAATACAACATAAAAACGTATTTGAGACCATTTTTAATTAATAAATTTCATCGGGTGACCTTGCTGAACATTTCGGGAGTTTTCTCGATTAACGAATTTGGAGCAATTTCAAAGTATAGAAAAAATGTCTTTTCCGCTGTAAAAAAATATGCACTGAATATATTTTTGATTTTGCGATACAAATAATTTTTGAAACACTTTTCAAAGCAAAAGAAGTGCAAAAGTCACAAAAAATCACTAAAAATGTATGTTTGTATTTATTTCATTGAAACGGATTGTAAACCTTTTTATTTATAAATCATCGATTCTTTATTTAATTAATATTTTGAGGAGACATCTTTGACACAGATTTGTATTGTGAGATACATAATCCCAATTTATTGTATATTAAGGACTAAGGGCAAATCACCATTTGCAAATATTCTGTATTTGCAAAAAATGTGTGTATTTCCAAAGATATTTGCAAGTTTTTTAATATTTGTACACATTTGCAAATATTTGCACTGATTTACGACATTTGTATACTTGACTGTGTAAATGCAGCTAATTAGAATATCTCATTTATCACGAAATTAAAAAAGAACTAATTAACTTCACGTATAAAATATTTAGAATTTTAATTTTACCAACTTTTTTTTTATTTTGGTGTCCGAAATATTAAAATTATGCTGAAATAAACATAATATTACTAACTTAACCTAACTTTCGCTTTGCAAATGTTGAACGTGGTTGAACGTTATAACTTTAAACTGTCTGGTGGAGACGGTAGTGAATTTTCCGCGCAAATAAAAGCTTTTTTTTTTAATTTTATTTCGGACAACAAAATGAAAAAAAAAGTTGATAATATTAAAATTCTAAATATTTTATACTTGAAGCGACTTGAAGTTAATTAGTTCAATTTTATTTAAGCCATTTCCAACAAGCTATCTTTAAGGCCAACAATGCCGCATTTGTGATACACTTGTATATTTGCTCAACATTTGTTGAATTTGCGATACATTTGCTGCATTCATTGAAAGCACAGCATATTTATTCAAAAATGATGCATTTGTTTTCGTGATTTGCCCCTAGCAATATTTTACAAGGCCATCATTCAGCATAATGAATTTTCAATTTTCAATGGGCGAAAATCCGTTAAATTTGTGTGCATCATATTGTAATTTTGTCGACAAATACCATCATTCAGTTTTAAGATGATAAAATCATCGGTGCGATTGAATTGGTTTAGCCGTGATAAATCCGGGAGACAACCTAAATCAACACATTTTTCACTTTGTAAATCGAATTATTTTAAGCGAACGTCTTGTATATATTTCAATTATTCAATACAATGTACGGACACCATCGCCGCATCGCGGATAACATTTCTTACGGTGAAAAGAACATAGCCCGTTTATTTGTGAATACATTGAAAAAGTGCCAAGCCAAAAAAAAGCACCGAACAGAAATGGTTGTTTTAAAGTGTTTTAGCTTATGCGGGCCGACCAAATGAAGCGAAAGAATAATAAAATATTGATGAGATGAAACCCTGACTCTTATTCACACGGTATAAATGATGGCGAATGCTTTCTATACAAGGCGCATTGAAGAGAGAGAAAAAAATCTCAAAACATGGCAAATAACGTAAAACAATGGTGAAATGGTTACGGAATAAATTTTATTCGTCTGCGTTGTTGCGAAGGGAAAGAGAAGAAAGAGAAAAAAATAACAAAAACAAAAGAAAACCTCCTAATAAATCACCGAGCAAATCAACAATGAATGAAAAACGAACAGAGGCAGAGCGAATGAGACAGAAAAAAATAATCAAAAGCAAGAATACGAGATAAAAACAAAAGGAAAACATGATGCTTGTGCCAAGAAGAATCGAAACCGAAGCAAACGATGCTAAAGCAATGCTTGCGATTGATAGAGTAAGAGAAGGTCTCTGGCATGTATTGTGTGAATGTATATAATGGCCGAAGTATAATAAGCTGTGAAACACAATGAAAAATGTATTAGACATCAAAATCGGTGTATCGTGTTGACGGACTTCGAACAACGGCATTGGATGCTATCAGTTCACTGAAGCGCATGAAATGCAATGCAACGGTGACGAAGACGATGGGAGAAGAAGAAAAAGAAGAAGAAGGAAAAATATCATACACACAGAACACGACTTATAGACACATCCAAGCAGCTTTCAATGAGCTCTTGTTATCGCGCTTGTTACAAGCAATACGCTTGCGAAATACATCTCATTTTGGTTGGATGCTGCTGTAACAAGTAGCAATTGTTGGCGGTGTTGCTATTTTTCGATGAGCGACTGGAGATCCCGTTATCATGTTTGCCATAGATTCTGGTAGGTCGTCATGGTCGTTGTTGTAGTCAATGTTATCGAATGAAAAGTGGTTGTTGGTTTGTGCGTTTGGCGGACGTAACAGAATGTGAAAAAATACCACACCAAAACGAAAGTCGAGGCAAACACATTGCAATCACTCTTTAAAGATTTTGAAATTATCTTGTAAATTACGAGCAGCAGTGTAATCACTTTTAATTGACTCTCGCACTTTGCCCACTCCGGCATAACTTGCATACTCTTTCTATCTCACTCTCACTCTCGCCATATATCTTCATCGTTCTCTGACTCTCTCTCTCACTCAATTCCAGTGGTTTGATCTCGGTGAACAGAATGAACAGCAGCAGTAGCAGAAGCAACATAACCAACAACAACATTTTACGTTGCAATAATATAATGCTGAAATGATTACGATTGTTAAGTTACAACGACGACGAAGGCTAGCGTGTTCACAGGAGATTAAATAGCACAAAAGGAAAACGAAGCGTGAATAAGAATGTAAGCTACTCAATCCCATCAAAAGTGATTTCCACGTGGTTGATTTCCATCAGTCACAATACTTATATTGCGGTTTGTTCTCTCCTTCGTGCGCTCCTTTTTCGTTCCCATCGTCTTTTCATCGAATCATCATATATATGTCATTTTCGCCTCAGAAAAGTGCTCTCGATAATGCAATCGAGAGTCGATTTAGCGAAAATGAATCAGCTTGATGGTTGCCACAATGATTACCACCAAAGTATTTTAATGCCAGTGTTAATTAATTGTGTCTAGCTTGAGATTTCATCAATGCGACTAGATTCAAATGGTTTGAATGCTAAAATTGCAAGCGAAAGCGATAGTAGCAGCTACGCCAATAATAGCAAACATAAACGGCAGCATGCTCGCTTATATTGTTTATAAATGCTGTTAATTCAATTGACTCTGCGTCATATCGTTCGTGATGTTCACTTTATTAGATTATGCCCAAAAAATATTTTCCAAATACGTTTTTTTGTGTGCGTGCAGTAATATCTTTGTGTACATACTGTATGCGACTGAATGTAACCAAATGGTGTATACTGTGCAGAATGCCATATTCGGTAATTTTCCTTACACACTTGAAACTCTTTCGTCGTACTTTTCCGCTGCATTGAATTCCATTCTAAATGCTTTTTAGGCACCATCAAGCCATACACATCGTCGAGCCAAAAAATACATAAACTTGTGTAAATATTTTGATATTTTTATTAGAATGTTTTTTTTCTCTGTACACCCAAGCATGATGTCAAAACACCATTCGCCACTCAACGTTTGTTGCATTTACAGAAGAGCCAACACATAAAAATGGCAATACACTCAACGTCGAACGATCAATTTGTCTCTCCCTGTGTTTTTATATATGGATATATGGGTGTGAAGTCCAATGCTGTTGATGCGAGTATCAACGCGAGATATTTTCTCATTT